CCTTAACACCTTGCAAATTTGTCTCATTCTTTCCTTCCCTGTTGTCACTACACTAAATTCAGGCCACATCATTTAGCTGGATTATTGCAACACATATTGGTGCAAAAGTAATTGCTGTGTTTGCTATTAAAAGTAATGGCAAAAGCCACAATTACTTTTTTTTTTTTTTTTTTTTTTTGGAGACGGAGTTTCGCTCTTGTTGCCCAGGCTGGAGTGCAATGGTGTGATCTCGGCTCACTACAACCTCCGCCTCCCAGGTTCAAGTGATTCTCCCGCCTCAGCCTCCCGAGTATCTGGGATTACAGGCATATACCACTATGCCCGGCTAATTTTGTATTTTTAGTAGAGACAGGGTTTCCTCCATGTTTGTTAGGCTGGTCTCAAACTCCTGACCTCAGGTGAGGCGCCTGCCTCAGCCTCCCAAGGTTCTGGGATTACAGGCATGAGCCACCGCGCCCAGCCTACCCGCAATTACTTTTGCAGCAACGCTAATATATCTTTTCTTCTAAAACTTTGACAGTAAACTGTTCCATACTCGGAACAGATTAACAGAACCTGCCATGTTGGGCAACACACACGCGCACACACACACCCCCCACAACACACTGGGAAGAGGGTGCATATCTTATCACATAATTTTCCATTGGACCAGCATAGGCAAATGGTTGATGTAAAAATTTTCTACAGAGAGGTGCAAAAAATACCATGCACACAAATGTTGATAAGAAAATAAAAAATGTTTTCCCTAATAAAGGAACTACTAAAAACATAGTGTTTTAATGTCAATAGCCTACATTTCCCAAGAGCCTATAATGCTAGCCAACACCTGTGTGTGTACTGGAAGCACAAGGTGAGGAGTTACACAGAGCTGCATGAGGACGGGCCACCGCAGGGTCTGTATCATGCGTTGTTTCTTTGTCACATCTGTGGTTTCCTGAATTCTCGCTTCCAGCTGTTGTTAAAAATGGCTGCTTTCCATTTTGCTTTTATTCTGAAGGGAAGAAATCCAACCACTGAACAGACAATATTACTCAACTTTTGTCTTCATTTTGCTCCTTTTTTTTTGGAATATTTCAACTAGCAAACCTGAAAAACATCACTAAGTTTCTGCCTCATGACACGCTGAACAAATACTTCTCTACTCATCTTAAACCTCTCTTCCGGATCCCAAGTACCATACTGCCATCCACACAGATTCAAGTATTCCACTACAATCAAGAAATAACACAGTCGCTCTTTGTTTCTAATTTTAAAATCTTATGCTGAACAAAAAAAGCAATCTACTTTGACGTATTTTTTCTTTATAAACCTGTGGTGGTTGTTGCTCATTAAAGATGAGTGCTGCGTAAAAATGGGATTTACTACTTCAAGAGATTCATCATTGTCGTCTGTTCAATTTTAATTACCTGATATTTCAGAGAAAAGATCATTGCTGAAATTATTTCTGTCCTGTCATCTCAGAATACAAGTGGTTTCATAACTGATTTAATTCTAGTTTCTCACCTTTAACTCTGCCTCTTGGACTTAAACCTATTTATATCCCTGCATTGAAATTATCACATAAACTGGAAAGTTGTTTAATTTGAAAGCCAGTCTTCAATGGAACTGCTTATTTTTTGAAATCCTCTTCACTATCTTTATGGAAGCTTTTGAAGTTCCACAAACCATACAACACTAACAGACTTACATACTTCACATCCATGATTTCAAATGGTGAAGACTCACAAAAGGACTCTGAAGTATCTAATTTACATTCTTGATATCCCCCAAATATATAAATTCTTATGATGGAAATGTTGAACATTTCAAATTGGAAAGAAGAAAACTAAATGACCATCCTTCCAGCCCCATTCCAAAGATAGTAACTATTACCAACGTGGTGCCTTCTCTTTCTCTTCTTTTTCCTTTTGCATTTTTGTAGAGTGTGGGCCAAACTTGTCTTCCTCGTAAGATTTTTAATCTCAGGAAATAAAACGCTACCCATTTATGCTCAGACCAGAAACCCGGGGGTCATTCTTGTCTTTGTCTTCTCCATTCCCCATTAACAGTTTTTCTGGTGCCAATACCTTAACACCTTGCAAATTTGTCTCATTCTTTCCTTCCCTGTTGTCACTACACTAAATTCAGGCCACATCATTTAGCTGGATTATTGCAACACATTCCCAGTTGTCTTCCTGCTGCTAGCCTTCCTCTACCAATCCATTCTGCAGATGTCAATCAGAATAATTTATCTAAAATGAAAACCAGGCCAGGCGCGGTGGCTCACACCTGTAATCTCAGCACTTTGGGAGGCCGAGGCGGGTGGACCACTTGAGGTCAGGAGTTCAAGACCAGCCTGGCCAACATGGAAATGCCATCGATTCTAAAAATACAAAAAATCAGCCGGGCGTCGTGGTGTGCACCTCTAATCCCAGTTACTAAGGAGGCTGAGGCAGAAGAATAGTTTCAACCTGGGAGGCGGAGGTTGCAGTGAGCCAAGACTGGAGCCACTGCACTCTAGCCTGGGTGACAGAGTGAGACTGTCTAAAATAAAATAAAATGAAATAAAATGAAAATCAATCATGTAACACCCCAAACAAACTCTTTCAGTGACTCCCAATGTCTTAAAAATAAAGTTTGTCCTCTTCAGCATGGTTTATGAGGCCATTTACAATTTGGCTCCTTCTAATTTCCCTCGTTTTATCTTTTGCACCCTAAATGTTCTCCAGCCATACTCTATGACGAGTAGATTAGAGCACACTATTTTCCTGCATTGCTTGGAACAACTTCCCTATTTGCCTGCCTGTCTAGCTTCCACTTCAATGCCACTTTTTCTAGGAGCCTGTCTTAGTTCATTTTCTGTTGCTTATAACAGAATACCTGAAACAGGGTAATTTATAAGGAAAAGGAACTTATTTTTACAATTATGGAGAGTGAGAAGTCCAAAGTCAAGAGATCACATCTGGTGAGGGTTTTCTTGCTGGCAAAGACTCTGCAGACTCCTGAGGCAGTGCAGGTCATCACACAGTGAGGGTTTGAGTATGCCAGCTCAGGCTTCTTTCCCTTCTTATAAAGCCACTGGTCCCATTCTCATGATAACCCATTTATCCACTAATGGACTCATCCTTTCATGAGAGCTGTCACCTCTTAAAGGCCCCATCTCCCAATATTTCCACACTGAAGATTAAGTTTCAACATGAGTTCTAGAGGGTACAAATATTTAACCAATAGCCTAGGAGTATGGTCGAGGGTCTGTATATAATTATCAAAAGATCACTCAGCTTGATCTTACATAAAATCATCTATATTGCACTAAACATACCTGTTAATCATCTGTTTCTCATTACATATAAGCTCCTGAAGACACAGGTTGTATTTTTCTTTCCACCACTGTATCTCCAGAAATTAGTACAATGCTTAGCACATAAAGTGCTTTCAAATGATACAAGAAATAGCCACAATTTAAAACTTAAATTTAGCATTTAAAATTTGTAACCTGATTTGTTCTATTTTAGTATGTCCATATAGACATTTATATGGGTTGCAAATTGCTAATTCCTCAAAACACTCTTTCGCATTACTTGCTTAGTCTTTTTTCATTTAATCCAAATTCACAATTATGTTTTTCATATTCAAAAGAGAATTAACAGGAAGACCATGAAATAAAATGCAAAAGAAAAGTTAACTAGGAATAATTAATTTATCCCAATAAATGCCATGATTTTGTTGCACAAACACTTTTCTGAGTTAAAATTTTAGAAAACCAAATTGCAAAATAAGGACATAACTACCTGATGTAGATATACTCAAGCCTTAAAGAGACCAATCGATTAAGATTTAAAATGTTGCCTTACAACAGCTGTGACTTTGAGTTAAATTACTTCATCTGTCTAATCTCCCCTGCTCCATTCTTTTTGGAAATAAATTAATAAAACAAAAAACAAAAAACAAGGAAACATCTGGCACTTTGCCAGCAAAAACATGCTGCTCACAGAATGGTTGCTATTAAGATGATATGTTAACCACAGAGCTAAATAGCTAAATGCATTCATCTAGGACAGCATATGGAGTGACTGTGGCATCAGAGATGGTCCTGGGTGTGGTGGTTCACACCGATGTGGTGGTGTAGATTAGAACCTCAGGAGTACCCTCAGCTGAGAGTTTGATTTATTTGGTGTGGGTGAGAGCATTTGGATTTATGAGAAATTGTTCAGGTTATTCCAATATGCAGTCAGTGTTCTAAATCACTGCCTGAGGCAGTGTCTGTCAATCATTGAAGTGCATATGAATTACTTGAGGTCCTTGCTAAAATGCAGGTTCTGCCTTAGTGGGTCAAAGATGGGGCCTGAGAGTCTACAAATCTAAGAAGTTCCCAGGTGATACTGATGCCTCCGAGTTCCCAGACCACTCTTTTGGCGTCATCCCATCTCTGAACTGAATGGGCTCAAGGCACTGGGCAGTGTAGATGACCAGACTATGGGGATGAGTGTGACTCTGTCTTTGTGTGTGAGGTTCACCAAAAAGAAATGTGACCATATCAGCAGAGTACTGAATGCATG